ATATGTATACCTGATTTAATTTTTTTATTATTATATGTAAATGTTTATATTTTAATATAAATGTAGAATTATATTGAATAAGGAATTATAATGCTACAACTATACAGCTTTGTTATAAATAGCATAATGTTATAAATAGCATAAAGTAATTAATAAAGCAATTAATAGCATAAAAGAATGTTTCTATTAGTAAATTTATAAATAAAAATATTCTTTTGTACCATTAATTGCTGTCGAAAACATTATCAATTTTTCATTTTATTGTTAAATTGTTAAGATTAATTATTAATTACTATTACTATATAATCTTATATTATTTGAAGTACGTGATACTTTTGTGTATCTAATATCATTAATAATAAATCTAATATAATTTATTGTTATAGCAAATAATTATAATATTTTTATAATAGCTACACATAGGTATGTTCTGAAATTTGTGAAAAGATATTCTACAATTAAACCAAATGGAAAATGAAAGTCATTCAATTCTACATATGCGGTTATGAGTCTTTATTTTATTTGTTAAAGGATTAATGTCGCACTTGTATTAAGTCCGGCAAAATAAATTGCAAATGTTAACATCGATGAATCGTTCAAATTCTCTATTCGACGCGATGTTGAATGCAATCGAGACATTAATATTCACAATATATTTAGGCGTACGTATAATGTATTTTTTTCGCATTCGTATGTATATAGAAATGTATCGTGTAATGCGTACAGGAATGAATACCAGGGAAGATTTTAATATATCTCATATATCACACGTACGCTATACATCACATACCTCACATACACGCATCTGATTCTTCTTATATATGTATGTATATATACACAGGATGTCCCGTTTTAATCGATCATTTTCCAAAATTTTCTTTCTAGATTTTTTTATTTTCAGTTTTATATAAAAATGTTTCAGACAAAAGATATATGATTTAAAAGAAGGGCAAATTAATTTTTGGAAAAAAAATCAAATTTTTTAAATCTTATGAAGTTTATCACTATTTTAATGAAATTATAATTTTATTCTATGTAATATAATTTCTCTAATTATTTTGCATATAATGTATGTATAATATATAAAAGTATTGAGCTAGAGATGACGAAACATCAATAATTTTCGAATATAGTTAATTCTGATACATATTGATATAATATGAAAAGTATCTTGTAAAATATTACTGTTTTGATAATTGTATTATAGGTTTTTTATATACATAGAACAAGAGATGAGATGATTCATTTGATGGGGTAGAGTTTCGGAAATCGTTTTTTCCGATTTCGAAATTTTATAAAAAATTTAATTTCAAATTAAGGAGAGCGCCTGATTTACAAAGTAAAAAAAATCGATTTTTTTTTTCATACATCGACAATACAACTCTTCGAGAATACATTCCTAAAATTTTAGAGCGAAATTCGAAATTCTTTGGTAGATTCAGTAAAATTCAAGTACTATTGTGCAGCATTAACATTATAATATTGTTCAGATCCATGACCTTAATAATATTTGTCAAGATCAAGAACATTGTTTCTCATATTTTTACTTTTACGTAAAAATGAAAAGAAAAAAACCCCCCCTGATAGCCTTGATCTTGATAAATCTTATTATTCTTAAAATGATTTTTTAGTAAAGTGCCAAAAATTTGGAATATCCCACTAGGGCTTGCTCAAAAATATCTCACAAATATCTACATAATTTGGATAAAATATTAATATTTGGATAAAATATTAATTTATAAAACTACTATTAATTTATAAAACTACTATATAATAAAATAGTATAAAACATAAAACATACGATAATAAATCAATAGTTGCATCTTCATCAAACAAAAACAAAGTAAGATTATGTTTCTATAACAAGGTAAAATTATGTTACTTTTCGAGGCTATAAATTTGTGTGCAAGTTTATGCATGTAAATATCTTTCTAGAATGGCCTATTACTTTTTTGTGATCATTACAATTGTAATTTTTGAAACTATTATAATCTCTACAACTTTGTAATTCTCGCAATACAAACGAGGTATTAATTATTAAAAATTGCCGATTTAATATCATTGAACTTCTTTCAGGTAAAATATTTTTTAATTCTTTGTGATTTTCTTTAAGACAAAGCGAAAACGAATCTCTAAACTTTTTTTTTGTTAGTTTAATGATTTCCCTCACTCTCGAAGTTTTGACATTTAATTTGGGAACATCCTGTTAATATACGTCTGTGAATGCGTTCCGTTTGACAGCTCTAAGCATTATTTGTTCTTATTTAATATTTGATTGACAATAAGGATGAACTGATGCTTACAGCATGTGAGCGTAGAAATGGAACACACTCACATATATACATATGTATTACCTGTGTGTGAGCTAACGCGCGCACACACACGCAATACACACACACACACACACACACACACACACATAAATTAAAGCAATTAACTCCGGTTAGTAAGTAATATCGTGGAATGAAAGATTACTGGGTCTTCGATTATGTACAATATTATAGAATCTGTCTGCGAGAGAATTAAATGACGCGATACAAACAACGCGACGGACCAGAGAATCGGTCAAGAATGGAGCGAGTCCTTCTAATCATAAAAAAGTTCCGCGTAATTGTTGTATAATAGGTGTTTTGGCACAGTAGACAGCAAGTCATTTTATGACGCGATGTGATGTCTAATTTTCTCTCGCATAGATACATCTCATCAGAATAAACAGTGCATGTACACTGCTTACAAATCACTCATAATGCAGCACAAGACGTGTATATTATATACGAGTAAGTTTTTAGTCTCGAATAAATGAATACAAGCGAGACTGCATTTAAAAATATTACGCCCTAGGAGCAAGTCCAAAACCGTCAAGAACGACGCGTATCTAAAAGTAAATATCGCAAAAACATTCTTATGAATAGAGACTATCTCTTATGTAGATTCGATTAAGTATTAATGCAAGACTTTCTTACAATGAATCATGCAAGTTCGAGAGCGCGTCCTTTTGCGGAATCTATATGTTAAATTAAGAAATACACTCTTTAGGACCCTTATATCCTTTTTCATTTTAAAGATGTCTTACATAATGTTACAATTATACATAGAGTATCTGACTTACCTCAGTTACATTGTTAACGACAGACTCCCGAAACCATTTTGAGATAAAAATTAACTAAATACTAAAATGCCAAAGTTTTTAAATGAAAATTATTTAAAGTTGTGATTAATCAAAATGTCCGAAATTCCCGTGCTCAGGCACGAACATAAAACATATGTACAGTAATATTTGTAAAATTATATCAATCTCAAGAATTCGATTTTATATTTAAGGTTGTCCTAAGTACAATCTCAAGACATTCAATACAATCATTTCATTAAGTGGATTTAATCTTAAGATCGTTTATTATTAGATTCAAGACGATCGAATATAAGATTGAACTATAAATATATGAACTATAAATATCTTTATAAGATTGAACTATGAATACCGCTTCAAAGACTGCTCATGACCAGACTTGAGATAATCTTGAATATAAAACAACGGACTACTTATACTAGCCACAGTTGGAGATCTTATATTTAAAACTATCTTGTATATGATCTTGAGACACACAATCATTTAATTGGCTAAATGGAGACAGTCTTAAGATTACTGGATTTAAGACATTCCATCCTAGGAAAGATACTTTAAAATATATCTGGACGCGTAAATTTCGAACAATTTGATTAGGTAACTTCAAATATTCCTCATTTAATAATTATTACAATTTTGGCATTTTGATGTAAGATTTTCTCAAAATAATCTTAGAAGTCTTATTAACAGTAAATGCCACTGTAAGTCTGAGAAACTTTATATAACTATACGATCTTGCGCATTTCGTATATATAGGACAATCGCTTCTATCTTATATGCGCATACACACTTTTATCTCTTACAACCTAAATATATCTTGCGACATATGTATATGCGCATACACACTCACACACACATACACACGCGCGCGCGTACACGCATACAATAATTTTTATTAACACGATACTTTAATATATTCGTTCGCTTAATGTGAGGGAGATATTCTCCTTTGTTAATGTAATATTATAATAAAATGTAACAATCACATATCCTATATAGCATTGTATAAGGGATCAATAATAATATTATGTAATGATAATTAAGCATGGTAAAAAATTCACAAGAGATGTTTCGATTTTTTTCTCGTTATTTCACTTCGATCAACAAGAATTCTCCACGATCCATTTCGTTCGTCCTTATTATTATACGTAAATCTTTTTTTTTTTTTACATATATATGTACACGCATTTGTCGCTATATAAAAGAGCAAATATGTCTTCGATACAAGATTATATAATTTCGTAGCGACCTAATTACGTTTTACGACCTTACAAAAACGTTTTTATTACAAAAAAATTCTCTTCGAATGTTCGCAACGTGAAAGTATCTCGATAAATAATATTGCATTATTAGTTCTATTCCACTGAATGACAAAATATATATATCTAGAAATCTACACTCTCAGTCAATAATGTTAAAAAACACGACTGTGGTTGCACGTACAAATTTTCCATGGTAAACTTTACGTTTACCAGTGATTGTTAACGCTTTACTTGATTTGTATTCAATTCTTACAGTAAAAAAAATTTTAGATCGATTCAGAATTTCCGCAAAATAACAAATATCAACTTATGCGGAAAAACCTGTCCGTTAACGATTTTCCGTTAAAGATAAGTTTTCGTTTTATATGCGCGATCAATTCTATCTTCCGGTTAAAAACCTATTAGCTGCATAAATATAAGTAAAAAATTGCTATTTAGAATTTACATAGCAGAAGAATCCATCTGCTAATACACTTGTCTATAGATAGTAAAACATATTGTTGCATGATAGGAACTTCAACTAGACTGAACGTATTTAAATTCATTTCTACGAATTAATCACAGTAAAAGAATGTTGCATTCGATGGAAAAATATTATAATGGATGTTATCTTTTCGAATGAAGAACGTGATGTCATTGCTGTAACTTGTGATCTTGGAAGACACTCACGCTTCCTTTACATATTATCCTATTTCATAGTTGCCATATTCTTAATATTCTATATGGAAATTTGGCTTGTTTCACCGAAATTGTGATGTGTCCCGTTTGTTCCAGACATTCTCGCTGTTAAAATGCGAAGACAAACCACATATAAGTATGTACATAACGAAACGGATCTTCAATGAACGCTTTCGCTAATAATATCTTTACGTGGCATCGTAACGTATCGCCAAAGAATTGAAATGAGGCTTAATCTCACTGAAAACGTCAAATATCTTAATAAAAAGATCGAAATGCGCGGTTAACCCTTCGTTGTCACCATGGATCAAAATGAGTAGTCTGAATTTCAGGCTGTATAATTAGCTCGTAATTGAACCTTCTCTTTCGAACGCGCACTAGTACATATTTTCATTTGAAAGTACTATATTTTAGGAGTTTCAAAATTTCAACTAAAAAAATTAAAAAATGAAGATGTTACGATTTTTTATGTTACAGTTTACTTTTTTACGTATACATCTTTAAAAAATGTTTAACCTATTGTTATTTGGTTCAAACGCTATCATTAATAAAACACATTCTATAGTATTTAATTCTATATTTTTTTTGTTCGTATCGTTTTCAGACGGATAGTTTTAGAACGGCAGTAATTGGCCAATTTAATCTAATATAACCGTGAAACTTTATAAAAGTGTGCCAACGAAGGATTAAAAATAACTGGTCTTCGTACACAAAACATATATGATTAATATGTGAATACGTAACTAAGTTCATTTACGGCTTAGAAATTTACAGTTGCGTGTAAACACGCGACATCAATAAAACTAGTAGATTCTCTAATGCCACTTTAACAATAGATTAGTACTTCAATTATATTGTAAAAATTTTCAATACCTTTTGTTTTTAACGCTAAAATCGGTTAAGATGTATGTATATGCATATTTATATACATAATAAGACTTGTTATGGCACGAAGACAAAAAGTACTGTTATCTCGTGTGTCAGATAGCCGGCATCAGCATACGAAAGAAAATACTCCTTGTAGTGCAATGCTGGGTCATCCGTTCAAGCGTGATCAGACATCCACTACATCATTATTATTGTAGTTGAAATTTGAATCACGCAAGAATGACGTGCGACGAAGCTTAAAGCTGAAACGGCTCTCCTCAACCATTTTCGGCACTTCCGTTGCCTATAAAGCATGTTGCAATAATTCTTATTTATTTTATAAAATAATAATTATTAAGATTAAAGGAATCCTTCTCTCAATGACTTTAACATATGTTAAAGAGATCATATCCTGAGTAACTTCCAACAGGTTTTAGCCGTCGTTCGTTATTCGTTAAAAAATTATTAACAAAATAAATTTAAGAAATAAATTTAAGAAATAAATCGTTCTTTTGTCTACTATATAAAACAAAACTTTGTTTCAAAATAAATTTTTGCTCTAAAAAATTTTCTTTGAAAATATAATTTTTTAACATAATTTTTGTTTTTAAAGCACAGAGTTTATTACTAAAATAGAAAATTTGATTTTGTAACTTTTCTCGCGAAGCAAGATCCACCCCACATTTCTCTTCTATCTAGAGGTATACGACTTCCCACGAGAAGTGAAGTTCATCCCATCTCCCCTAGAAGCGATCAATTTCCCTTAGGCAGAGAGAAGGTGGGGTTCTCGTTTTGCATGGAAAATCGACTGTATTTAGTTGGATTACTCCACATCTCCTCCCTAAAGTCAATTTTCATTCAAAGCGGAGAAATAATAATCAATTTTGATTATTAATAATTTTATAATGAATAACGAGCGACGGATAAAACCTGTTGGAGGTGACTCAAGGGCTCTTCTAATCTAAATAATTACCTACAAAATATATATTTAATACATAAATTTATATTAT